GCTCTTTTTGCGGTACAGGCACTGTTTGTCCAGCTGGAACACCCACCAGGTACAAATGTACAAACTTGTTGCTTATCTACGATCTTCTCCCGTTTAACAGTCTATTTTAATTTGCTGCGTGATGTAATCGAGATAATAGTTCGAGAATAAGCTGCGTACTCAATTATTCCTGTACAAATTTCCGCGCGAGCAAAAGCTAAGTGTATCGAGCTTTATGCAGGCCATATTCGCGAATTCTAGTTTAACCTCCTGTAACTTCCGCTACGATGTTCTGTGAAGCAGGATCGTAGAGATTATGTAAACGAAATATTTCATGGGTTTCGGGCCAAAGTCCAGTAAGGTGACTCGGTGTGTGTGAGTTCAACTATACTGTGAAGCTTTTACTTTCAAAACCATTTAGGTAGAATTTTATAGAAACAAGGAAGGTCTAGCAATCTCATTTCTCATTTTGAAAGAAAATATAGAAAGTGGTAAAATTCTGAATTTAAGTTGTCTCCTCGCCTCTGGTTGGCTTCTCTCTCGCGAAATGAGAGACTGCAGGGGACGGCTGAAAGACAGGCGATGGCAAACAATTAATAAAGTTTCTTCTGAAAAAAGTCTTACATGGTACTTTGTGTTTGCTGTTACAAGATCGATCTTGATGCACAACTCACCCAGCTCTTGAAATCTCATTTTTTTTTTGTCAGGTCTTTTAAGCACCAATCGCAGAACACTATTAAATTTTTTTTATTGGATGCATGTTAGTCAAAAGTCCGTTGGAAATGGCAAATTATACCCATGGCTCCCTCTCTCTATCATTGGTGCAGCGATATTTTATAAGCCGCTCTCTGGAAAGTAGATAGCCTCTTACGCAGATCAGACGCTCTTTGGGCTCGTCACGCAATCTCTGAGGGAGGAAGATTGCGTTACGAGCCCAGAGAGCGGCTAGAAAGTAGACGGCATTTTGAGGCCCTTCGGATGTACCATATCACGGCTTGGCGACCCACCCAGCGCCCCTTCAGCGATCTGTGTTTGGTGCACGAAACCTCTAACGAAACGTTGTATACGTATTCTGTTCCTTGGGACGCTGGTATCTTTTTTTCGTTTAATCGATTTTTTTTTTTTTGGCTCATTCAGGTTTCATCAAGTCGTATTTTGACAGTTTGTATGATGAGAGGATCATCACAGAGGAATCATTCAACGCCTGGGAAAGCAGTGTTGAAGAGGAACGAGGCAAGGGCGCGGCCATAGCCGCCAGTTCCGAATTCTTCCGCTGGCTTAGAAGCGCCGCTGAAGAGTCTGGTGAGTAGAGCTGAACAATTCACCTCGAAGTTGAATAACTAGCACTCAAAAAAATGCATTCAGTGGAGCTTCAGGAGCAGATACAGCGAAATCTGCAGTGCTGCTCTGCTGCTGTTGATTTTTAGGGTGTGCGTGTATAAATGAAACAAGTTTTCTGATCGCTTATTACCAGGGTTTTTTAACCTGGAGATAGACTTGAAAGAAGGAAAAATTAGTTCATACAAAGAAGTACTTTTCGTCGTATTGTCATGAGGGTAAAATTTACAACCAACCAGTCAGATATCTTAATATTTTAACTCGCATCTCAGTCGCTGTTACTCCATATCGCCTATTGCATTCTATCTTTCTTTTAATGTCCTCTAGCGTTAAATCTAGCAGCAACAGAAACCAGCTAGGACAGGAGCTGACAGGAGTTGATTCACACCAACATTTTAAACATGTTTAACAGTGGTTTAACCGAGCAAGGTTAAAAATTAGTTGCCCATCACAG